CAAACTCAGAGAATACTTTATACTGATGAATAAGGTGACCAAGTTTGATCAAGTTTGAATAGAATTAGTAAAGTTATTATGCACACAATAACAATTATTAACGACAACGACGACGACAACGACAACAACAACAACGACAACAACAACGACAACGACAACAACAACGACAACGCCGGACAAAAATTTTCCCTTAATATACCTTTCCCTTCCATCTTTGATGGTACGGGCAAGGTAAAAATGGTTTTACAGTATTACACAAGTTATTAGGAGAGCTATGCTAATCTCTTCAAAATGGCATGAACTGGCATAGTGATAATAGTTTATCCGGGCCTTGATATGGGTCAGTGGTATGTCAGTGGAGTGATCATTTATCTTGGAAAGCAAAGCTGAAAGAAAATCAACTTCATACACACCCAAACCACTTTGAATACATAAATGTTGGTGAGACTGACATTTTAGCTATTTTTCTATCATTATTTAGTTGATTTTGAACCAAATGAATGCAGTTTCTTTTTGGCTACAAATACAAATACAAATCTTATTGTCCTCAAGTGACTGAAGTAACACATTGATTAAGGAACGCATGTTCGCATATGAACACTGTTCATTCGTGTGTAACAGATCATTCTTGGCAAACAAATTAAATCTATTAAGTTGAAAAAATAATCAGATTTTTCTACTTAACAAGTGTTGAATAATTATTAATCAACTTTTTGGATTTTTTTTCTCAGTATGAAATATTTTTTAGAGGATAAACTGTCTGAAAACATTAAAAACTGGGCCTTTTGGTATTTATTAGTTATAAATAATTGAACAATAACATGAATAATACAAAAAAAAATCCAAAATAAATAATGATATATCATCTGGTAGGGCTACACAGAAAAGGTTGTTTCTGTAGACTAGAACAAGAGATGTTCATATAAATAATGTGCAAAACTGTGTCTAGGAATGGGGCTCTGTCTTAACTTCTGTATCAAAAAAATTGGCCGAATTTCATGAGCACAATTTTGAGATATTGAGATTTATCCTATACATCATTGCAGTTCAGTGTAATAAAGCAGTGTAATAATAGAATATATAATAATCAATAAATCATAACAATAATATTATTATAAATTTGTAAAATGGTAGCAAAATATGTAATGGCGGATTCTTGGTAAATTGACAATTTTGACACTATAAAATATCCCTGGTCGTAGTACAAGCTGAGCGTTGCGGGGATCAGAGTCATCAACAATACTGAGCTCCCCAGACAAATTTAACACAAGGACATGCAACTATAGCACTATAATAAAGGCATTTCACAAGAGATAAGACTAACATATCAGATGACCGTATATATAGTACTGATGCAAACAAGATATATGACTGAAATATCGAGTCATCATATATAGTCATGATTTTATTAAATTATATTATAATTGTTATACCATAGCCACTTAGAACCATCTTGGTCCCTGCTTGAAGTAAATGTCATATTTGCTATATTAGAAGCACATGTAAATGAAAAAGACAAGTTTATGGTCAACACAAAACATATTTAAATGATTTTTCATGCAATGAATAAGTGTATTGGAGATGTGCTTCTATTATAGTAAATATGGTACATGTATTCTTTATTTGCTCTTTATCTACATTTGTGTAGCATTTTACCTTAAAGCGCGGTGGTCGTCGCGCAGCGCGTGTTCGAATTTCATGTAAATAAATAATGTATTTTACACGCGTTGTATACGTCGCTACGAGCCCCATATTGAACAGGACGCGACACGACGACTCCCTCCCTTTAATGTACGAGCAACCAATTCTCTTTTACATCGCATCTCTTCTGCGCATGTCTGACATTAATTGTTACGACATATTTGCCCAGACGACATAACCGGCATTTTGTAACGTACTACCGCCTAAACACACCGCGGTGTGAAGACCTCATATTGACGTAGGGAAGCCAACTAGAGTAAATGGGATAGAAAATGAAAGAACTTGGTTGTTGAAATAGAATTAAAGCCCAGGTGTATGCCTTGCCCTTTTTAACACCCGTCATTTGTATTCGCTCATTACACACAAGACACATGACGGTTTTCTGCCAGCAAAACATCTTCAACAGAAACAACGACTGATGATCAGCCCTTTCAAATAAAGAATATAAGGAAATGGTCACCTACCAATAATTACTTGGGTCCATAACGCATCATGAGATGCCCGACAGTACAGAACCCCCCGAAATTCCCCAACACCTAACCACGAACGAAGAATGTGCGTCTGAAAAGTGAAAGGATTTGCTTCAGCGTCGTCGAGGCCTGTTCCATTGTACTCAAGGGTAACACAACAATGGCGGACACTATTTATTTAAACAAAAGTGTTTTTTTTATGTTCCACGTTTTTTTAAAATAACTAAATACACACTATAAACAAGCGAGACTAAAACTAATTTCCTAGTCTAATAATGTATTTTAAACTTATTGACTAAAACCTATTATGATGTCGTCCCTCTAAAAATGTGTGGTCGTCCGTCGAATGACATAGGTACATCAATATTTAACAGTACTTCAATAGTTGTCAGATCCATAGTGTTTGCACCGTAAAAAAGTCACTGGACGCAGGAAAGAATGGAACGACAATATTTCTAGATGAGACGCTGTTTTGCTATGAACATAGCTAAATTACATACACAAAAGTGTTGCCACAGGAGGCCCTTTTTGAGTGCAGACATCCGGGCACTGTCACAAAGGCCGAAAACTCTCAGAAAACTGTACTATGGGATAGTTGTTGAGATTTTCTGAACAGTGTAACAAGACTCCCCCTACAGGTGCAACATATATAAATGTAGTTACTTAGGATTACTTCAAAGTTGAGTTTTCTCGACTTACAGCCAAAACAAAGTCGGCTTGGACATTCAGTTGTGAGACATGACAACATAAACGATGGCAGCGATAGATTTTGAGAATGAAAGAACAAAATAAACTCAATCAAAGGCGCCGACCACGCGCGTAAGCTGTTTTCACCGGCTTTTTAACCAGCGTTTCACAGCAGCTTACACATGGTTCTGGAAATACTGGTACTGTAACAATGGTGCGCGTCTTAAGGCCTACAAATGCAATGTTGCAAGTTGCAACAAGTTGATTGAAAATAGACACGCGAGACCTTAACGTGAGTGGAATTATGATAACGTGTAAAGTTTGTCATCCTGTTCTATATAGATATTGTGGATTGATGAATGCTTCATCTGTTATATATTATAATATTTGATTGAGAAGTTTCACATGCTAGTTAATAGGTGCAACTTCTGTTGCCAACACACTCAAACTTTTGTTGACAACAAATTGCAGCTTATCGATCCGTCTACCATGGCCTTTAACAACACACGTAGCTCTGCTCCAGAAAACTCCAGTGCCACACTGTGGAATTACTGACGGGCGCGATGTAATTATTTTTGCGCATGCGTAACCTACCGAGCAATGGGCAATAGTGGGCAAGCCAGGTGTGACAAAAATATATTAGCAATACTTGCTAATAACGGCAGTGTAAATGGTGTATGGTGTGTCACTTTGGAATAATGTTATAAAACCGGTAATTGAATATGCCGGGGAAATTTTAACACCAAGCATCACTGATATGGAGAAAATAGACATTTATTATTGGTGCAAGTAGACACACAACGAATAACGCAGTACTAGTCTTGATGATCCTCGACGTATGACAATGGAAAAACGATTAAAAATTGTGAAACTGAAATTTTACAAACGATTGTGTCACATATATTAATCATATATGTGCAACCATTAAAATAAACAAATACAAAAATTAAAAATTTAAACAATTTGATTATAACTCAAAATTATATATGGCGGTGCCACATGTGGAACAGGATGGGCTTTTTGGGGGGGGTCACTTGAATTTAAGAATGGGTACGCATACTCTAAATGCGTACAAACATTTGCAAAAAAAATAACCCATTCCAAGTACAATAACATCAATAACAAACTATATATACGAGGGCATTCCTCAATTCATCTCGGGGATTCGCCGGCGGGAAAAGTTTTTTTTTTTTTTTTACAAAAGAAATTAGGACTTAAGGTTGAAAAAAAAAATTCTTTTTTGCGTTTAGTTACCACTTTGGAAAAAATATATACTAATTTTGTTTTGTTTTTCGATTTTAACAACCCTAAGCACGGTACGTGCGTAGACGTTTTTGTGTTGCAGCTACATACAGTGTCCACAACTGGGAACATCTAACATTATTGTATGTGTACCATTGGGGCACGTGTTTTTTTTTTCTTTCTCTGTTTTGAATACGTAGTGTAGTGTGTTTGTCAGTTGTTTTGTTCTTGTGGAATGTCTTGTCAATTATCATCAGTCGTTTGTTATGTGTTCTTTGACTTGTAACTTTTCCTATAATGACTTGTGTTCACAGATTTACGGTAACCTAACAACATTCACTCGGGTTTCTGATCAACACGAGACAGTTGATACTTGAACCAATCCATCGTCTGGTTTACACATAGACACATACAAGTACCGTTTCCTGTTCTTACAGTTAAACGCCATGAAGAGATCAGCGTACTTAGTTACACTATGATTTCTGATGAGCACAGTGTCAGATCTTGCACCTTCGTACCCTGTTTCAGACCCGTTCTGCAATCGTTGGATACAGGGTACCAGGATTACTTTCCACAGGGACATTTCTAGGCAAGCCAGCTCGTATCAAATATTTAGGCCAATATCAAACCTGAACGAACTCAGTCGTTATTTCTCTATTTTTTTACCAAATTATTCACGACCTATCTCCTATGCTGTCTGAAGGTTGCCAGTTGTCAAAGAATTCAGAATTGACAACTGGTGTCCATTGTTGAAAACCCGATTGTGCCTTATCTAATCAACTATTTCCACAGTTTTGAACAGAGCTGACGTCACACTCTCAGGCTGAGATTCCAAATACATGTACACTGTAGCCTCGTTATAATGAACTCTCGGGGCATACAATGAGTTTATGTGTAATGTGTTCATTATATTAGATGTATTATGAAGGTGTTCATTATATTGAGGTTGCAGTGTACAGAGAAATGTTGATGGGTGGTGCTAATCAACTGTACGTTAATCGGCGTATTTCACCCAACGACTACGCTTATGTTTTGCCAAAATAAATAAGATTTTATTTATAAAAAAGAAAATACTTAAACTTATCCTACAATACTTGTTTTCCGTATTAACAATATAAAAATATTTGTCACGGTGAAATGCAGTAGTTTTCGTCACTATATTGATTTACCACCCATATTTTAGTATCTCAATGTCTCTAATAACTATCAAACTGAATCACTGTTCCTAACTAAATTCATAGATGATTGGGAAAAAGTTGTGTCGTATTTGAACTCGGCGGTTTTTTTTTTTGGAGGGCGGGGGTGCTGGGAAACACAAATATTCTATTCTGTATAGCAATAACTTCTATACTCGATGACGAAACGATCTAAAAGTGATTATCTATTTTCCGAGCACCCTCGACTGTTACAGTAACAGTATTTACATGTACGTCAATGTATACAGGTTATATTCAACTGAACTTACGATGTTATGTGTGGGATCTTTGGGCTTACACTATGCGTAGTCAAAATGTGCAACTGGCGATTGACAAACTGTATCGCTGAGTTAGGTTTCTTGAAAACCCTTTACGATTATCAGAAATTTGGCCATCTTGATAATTTCCTATATTACCACCGTGTTCGCCCCCTCACTGAGTAGTACTTAGTGTTATGATAGTGTGCCTATACATGTATGTTGATAAAGATTGTTAGAAACAGACATATACACAATAAAACAGATAAATATATACATGTATTATTTATTTGAATAACGAGCAGTAAATATATTATCATTTCATTCACTCACTCATCAACTAACTCTAACTAATTAATGTGTTATCTTAACTAATTGACCACAGTAAAACTAATTATCTTAGATATTTATAAAGTGTCACTTATGCAAAAAACAGTAATTTTATTTAAGTAAAAACATCAGTGTTTTTCTCACATTTCCTGTGAATAATTCTAAGGTACTGGATAAAGTTCAGAGTCCTCCAATTCTCTGTTTATATTTGATATTGAGATTATTATTAAATTGTGTGTATCGGGGTAAGTGCATCGTTCCTTTAAGTAGCGCCATCTAGCGACAAGACGCTTCTGTGACGTCAATTTTGAAGATCGTTCACAGCGTCGATATTGCTTTGATCTGTCGTCGCTAGTCAATTAAAAAAAACATTTATTTTAGAGATGTTCTATATTGTATAACGACAATACAACCAAACTCGCTTAAATTTAACGCCACTGCGTTCAATGGTTCATTGAGCTTCAGGAATGGTTCAACCACGTCATCTACTCCAAGTTTACGCTGGGCGCTGCTTAAACTAAATCAATGCTGCGTATTATTTACTGAACCAAAAATTAAGGCGTTAAAATTTCCCCACGGTGAAAATATAGCAAATATAGGAAAGCTGACAGTTAATGGCAGTTTTCCACGTGGAGTTTCAAGACTCCCTGGCGATGAAGTTTAGTTAGAAGATCGAATTCAGCGGGATAGTCGTGGGTTTGTCTGTACGATGTCCAAGGTAAATCTTCCGAATAATGCATTGGAAGCGAGTTGCCACTGGCGCTAAACGGGAACGGCCAGAAACCGTACAAGTGTATCTCTTCACAAAACGAGATTGCTATACTAACCATGGTCATCCCGGAAGAAAGTATTTTACCATTTATGTGCCAATACTCGGAAAATTTTTGAGAATATATTGCGTTTGACAGCACCAGTTGCAAATTTGAGTTTTTCCGCAGGATTTCAGCAAAGATGAACGCTGACTTCATAGACGGCGCATGCGTCCAGCTGCTTGGCACCCACATAATGTAACCATTGAAACTTTTCAAGCCTTTGATGAACTTTGCCGCGTGAAAAGCACCACAAGGAACACCGTCTTCAGTTAGGGATGCAGAGGAACAAGCTACACTCGTAAAATTTGTTTTTCTCCCCGCATCTTTCACAAAACCTTGTATTTGCGGCACGTTCATCCTCAAAACAAAGTCTGAACTGTCAATGTCTGCACCACAGCTGCTATTTTTAAGAATCCCACCATTCCCAACAATTGAACACTTTGAAAACATTGTTTTGTTCGGTGGAAACGTTTTGGCTAATAACTCCCGTTTCGATTTATCAATAGTAAAAGATTCTTTGAAGTAGTTCCCGTAGTATTTGTAGTCAACGTGTATATTGTCTTGAACGAGGACGGGTTCGTGATGCTGTGTGAACCGATTAAGCTCGTTCCGTAATTCATCAACCCTGGTTTTATTAATCGTTGAGCAATGGAGATATGACGCAGTTTGTTTAAGTTCTCTAAGGTTCAATTTCCAATAAAATATTGTTCCAAAGATGAGGATTTGGTGATAATAATGGCAAATAAAAAACACGGTTAAACATATGCCGAAAAACACACATATAACCCGTAATCGCCGCTGCACCATTCTGACGACACCAATAGGGTAGATCTGAAACAACACAAATATAACAGGTTAGGGATTTCCAATTTGAAATATCATGCTAGTTTTTTGGGGGAAATATTTTGTATTTACTTGTGTCTGCGTGACGATTTTTATAAACCAAGCGATTCCCAAGTCTTTTAGATTACGCAGTAGTCTTTGAAACTTGTTTTCCATAATCCATATTATTCGTGCGGAAAGGATAAATAGTACTGTAGTTTATTCGGTACTTTGTATCATGGAGCTAACACATGCCTATATCGTGTTCACACCTGGGTTTTTTAACTTCCCCTTTCGACGAAGAAAGAATACTACGTTCATGGTACGGGATCTCGGCACGTGCCGAAATTTTTAGTCCTTCGTGTTTGCAGAGGGATTAGTACAGCAGTTGTGTTCACGTTAATTAGAACCCACTTGGGCCCCTCTCGGTCCGCACCGAAATCGCTTCTCATTCTTCAATCTCTTATTTGAGCCAAACATGGCAGATGATAATGATAATGACTGTACTCAAATCTTATTAATTTACTGTTATGTTATGGTATTTATTATAAATCACAGTTCGAATGAACGTCAAAGAAGGATTCGAAAAAACGTTATCCGACCATATGCACTTCCCTCCGTGACCATGGAGATGCTGAATTGTTCGAGTTACGAACATCGAATTACGAAAATATCGAGTTACAAAAATGACCATGCCCATATTTTAGAAACCATGCCCACTTTTGCGAAACCACGCTCAAATTTTAACTACATGTTCAATTAACAGACCTTAGGGGTCACGGGCAACATACATTTGTTTTTGTTGAACGTTCACATTTAGTAACTAGAACTTTAATTAAAGCGCGGACGTCGCGCTGCGCATGTTCGACATTTGTGTTGATACACATTGATTTTTTCCCATA